CGGAAGAAGTGAATTTCCGCCACTGTTTTCATTAAGATTTAAGATTGTGAAAGAAATTTCTAGTTTCTGTACGCTCTTTCCAGTATTTTACCCCCAGCTTTTTTTACGATATAATCGACATTCAACATTCATTTGAGAAAATTCCTAATTGATACCACTACAAGTATAAAACAATCTTTTCAACAAAAATATAAATCTTCATCATTAGTTTTCTATTAAGTGAAGTACTTGCTCATCGACATATACTAAGAGTCTGAGATGTTTGCAATGTCTTCGATGGCCTCACACAGACATGAAGATTATGAGAGCAAAGTGCGCAAAATGTATACGCTTTACTTCGATCATAAAGTTAGAAATAAAAAGTTAACAATTGCAATACTCTGCATGCAATTCACAGTGTATGGAATTAATATTTTTACATACCCTTCGCATTATTAACTAGCTGTGCTATATAGAAAATACAAATGATGGATAATCCATTGCAAAAATATCGACTGAAGATGCTCCTTTTAATAACCTGCAGTGCATGCAGCGCTTAATAAATTAAAAGCTTTTAGAATGTCTCTTTTATGTATACTGTCTGAAAGGTATTTTACATGTAATTACCAACGATTCTTCTATTACAGGTAAACTATGTGAGCGTTCTTCTTTTGAGTTTCATAATTAACTTTGCAAATTTGAAACTCTTTGTAAATCCAAAGACAAAGTATTATTTAATTTATTTGTGTTAAGCCTGGTTCACATTCATCGTAAACATCGGCGATGCCCATTGTCGGTGGTCATTGATGCATAAAATGTTTTGTGCATTTTCTTCTTCGTTGCTCACAGACAATGGATCGTAGAACATCGCCGATCAATGTGAACCAGGCTTAATTGAATTTCGGTGAGAAATTGCCGTGAGGAATTGAAGTTTTGCCGTGAGAAATTGAAGTTTTGCCGTGAGAAACTGATGTTATCAGGCCTGAGAAATTAAAGTTTTCCCATGAGAAACTGAAGCCTTTTTCCGTGAGAAACTGCCGTTTTGCCGTGAGAAGAAAGTTTTGCCGTGAGAAACTGATGTTTTTCCGTGGGCCACCGTACCAACTATTGATTTCCGCCATAATTCTTCCATCAGAATATGTCGATGAGATGAAGACTGAAGTGTAAATGATATCTGGTGATACTGATTTTATAGCAACATTTTGTGTATTTTTAAATTATTGTTGTCAAGGTTGACTGCTGGTGCTGCTGTTATTCCACGTAATTATGTTTTCATATACAATTATGTAAATCAATATTGGGCATTTTATAGTGTCACAATAGTGGATATTGTAAATTTATACATTGTGATTTTGTCACTGAAAAGCCTCAGTTTAGTTTAGGTAGGGCGGAGTGTCATTGAAGTGAAACTTGCTGATCACAAACGTATTTCTTTGAAATAAATCAAATAATCTATCGAGTATCGTAGAGTAGAGTATACTCGAAAATGTGGGGAGGGTACAGTATATGAATCACCTGTAATCTTGTTGGGTTCGGGGCATGCTCCCCCGAGAAAATTATGAAAATTTGAACCTCGGAAATGCTATTTCCTGCGTTTTCAGCCATGGATTCGTCCAACAACTTTGCTGTACTAAGCCTAAGGAACACTTATGTATGTATAAATAATCCCTGTGATGCAGTTGTCCACTGTTCACCCCATGTGTTCTTTTAGGCAAATGCATGTGCCTGCTCAAAAATTCAAAATCTTGCAAGCCTGTGGACACAATGCTGAAGAGACTGAAGAGCGTCAGTAGATTTACATGTAGGAATTTTTCTTTAGGCGTTTAGCGCTCTCTTTTGCATGATATTTTTTTCTCTCGATTGTATGCTGCATGATTTTTTTTCTTTCTCCTTGGGTTGCAGGAACTTTTTTTCTAAATCTTCCAACCCCACCCGGCCCCCAACCTCGCAAGCAAGAGCCTGTCCGGCCCCCTCAAAAGTCATATGGTCCTATAAACAAGGCTCTGCTCGCAGGGTAGGATCACAGGCGGCCCAGACGTGTACTGTATCAGAGTACAGTAATTGTCAGTAAATATATCATAGAATATACTAAACAATAAAATTTGTAATGAATTTTATATTTTAAAATCATATTTACTTGCCTACTTTGATTGCATGTGATTGTCTTTTATTTCTG